CCCAGGACCAGAACACAGGTGATTTGGTGTACTTGTGTGCAAGCTCCCGTCGTTCATTAATCGACATGTCCCGGTTTGCGGTTACTTGTTTTTTGTAGTCATCGATGGATGATTGAGCGGCTCCCTCGGATTTAAGATGTTGTTCCACAGCTGTATCAGGGTGTTAGCGTCTTGATCATGAACAGCAGCTAAAAGGGGGAAAATTAAGTATGAATAATTCGTGATTACCTTCATCGAACGTCACAAGTTTATGGTTTTTAACCCATTGTGATTCGAACTGGTCGATTTCAGGGCCAGAGGCCCCGTCCAGCTCCATTCTCTGCAGGGTTTCGGCGAGCGGTTTGGAGCCTTCGGTAACACCTAGGATGAACTCGTGGTCCCGGACATCAATGGTGCTGCTTAGAAGTTTTCCGCTCTCCGAGTCCGTTCTGGCGATGAGCAGATTTTCAGTCCCCATAATATCCCACTGCAATCTTGCTGCGACGAGCCTGTTGATGTGTTCGGCAATGGGGACGAGCACTTTGCCGGCAAGATGGCCGCATTTTTTGCCTCCATGAAGCTGGTCCTCGAAGTGGACAGCAGCGGCTCCGTTTTCGGCAAAGAGTTTGGCCAGTTTCAATACTGCTGTAAGACCTCCATGTCTATTTTGGTGAGTGTTACAATACTCTCTGGGTTCTCAAAGGGGGCTTACAACTTACCCCGTATCGCCATCAGCGATTATGGGCCGCATGAAATCAGTGTAGGGCGTCGACTTGCGCTGGTCCGCAGAAAGTTTCCTTCTTGCATCCCATTCTTTGCGGTCGTGCATTTGCTGGGCCTTGAAGAGCCTCTGAACCTGGTTCGGGACGGTGTTGTAGGGGTAGTCTCCAAAGTCCGGGGATACTTCGTTTGTCGTAGTGAGGAGAGATGAACACGCCCACCCTGAAATATATAGCACTTCTTGGTTGGGAGCTTGCTGTGTCATCTGGACGGGATCAATGGCACCAACTGTATGTTTGTTAGAGGAAACGATACCTCAAAAAAAAAAAAAAAAATTTAAAGCTTAGAGCGTCACTCACGCGTATGTACCGGCTTTCCAGCCTTTGCCCTCTCATCCAGCAGATTGAATAATTTTCTTGCCATTATCGAGCTTGGATATGTCTGCTGCAGCGACCCCCGCTTGCTTACGACCGCCTCTGCTGAATATGGGCGCTTGATACCCTCGAAGCGCGGGGTGTTCCACCACTCCCTCACGGCTCTTACTTGTTCTTCAAACAGCGCATCTTCGGCGGCCCCGGCCTTTTCAGCGGAAGACAGTAGCTGGAATGAGTCGGATGGGTGTGCTACTGACACAGGTGGATTGACTGGAGGTAGTTGTGACGCCATCCGCGGGCAGCCACAGGCGAACGTGCGAGCCGCAGTACTGGAGAGAGTGGAGGGGCGGGAGAGCGGACGAAGCTGTCGAGGCAAGCGGCGAGCAGCGTTGCGAATCATTGTCGGCGTGGAATAGTTCTTTTGTCCTACTCCGCCGTATTTAAATATGGGGAAACAGTGTCCTGGGGCTTCCTTTGTTGTTGCGCTTGTTTGTATAGTATTAATATAGTATGGGTGAACTGGCTAACTAGTATATAGGGTTAGCTAATCTGTAGACGCATTGAGCTTTTGCAAAAGTCTTTCTTCCCAGAGCACAAAGGGCGCACCGGGACAACAAAATAGCCCTTTGACAAAGTAATATACAGAGAATAGGTGTTTTAAAAAGTGACAAAAAAAATTCGAATGTTTAGCTGGGTATATATACTGACCGGAAAATGCGGCGATTTGGATTTATAAGAGCCAGTCAATGACAACACCGGATGAGCACGCAGCGAAAGCGACGGTATGATAATATCAGTTAGTTAGTTACAGGATTGAATAGACTAGGCATTAGCTGTAAAGTAGCGCTGTAAACACGCTGGCTGACGTCGTCTGGCTGTGAGGTGTGCTGTATACTGTATACGCATTAAGTAGTAACTTATGAAGTAGAGGAGATTCTTATTGTCCTCGGCAACAAATCCCTCGGCAAAAACAACGCTAGCGCAATCCCGCCGCCAGCCGCCCTTTGGTCCGACCGCCGAATAGCCTCATCTTTACTTGATTCGGACAACACTAGCTCAACCCATTCGAGTCTTCCGGCGGGCGGGTCCTTGCTCTGTGTATTTTTCTCTCCCTCTCAACTCTCCGCTGTCTTTCACAAATCCCAACAAACATCCTTGGACACTTGCTCCCCTCCAATCTCACCTGCTCTGCGCTCTCTGCCCTCACCCCGCAATTGTGCAATTGATCTATATCTCCGAATACACATACGAAACAATGGTATTGGCCAGCAGGGCTACAAGACAGGTGCTGAAGGCGTCTCAGGTATGTTGTTTGGTGGGACCTGGTGTTCCTAGTGCTACAATTCCGAGTATCTCAATTTCTCAATTCAATCATTACGACTTCTTCCTTTACTTACCTTTTTCCTATCTTAGAATGCCTCTCGGTCATTTGCCTCCACATCTCGGTACTACTCCACCGCAGAATCTGACCTCAAGACTGCTTTCCAAAATGCTATTCCGGCAAAGAAGGAGCTGCTCCAGGAGGTCAAGAAGCGTGGTGAAGACGTCATTGGCGATGTGACCATTGCTAGCGCCATTGGAGGCATGAGAGGCCTGAAGGCCATGGTTTGGGAGGGCTCTGTGCTGGACGCCAACGAGGGCATCCGCTTCCACGGCAAGACCATCAAGGACTGCCAGAAGGAACTGCCAAAGGGCACTTCCGGAACTGAGATGCTCCCCGAAGCGATGTTCTGGCTCCTCCTTACCGGCCAAGTCCCAACCACCCCCCAAGTCCGGGCTTTCTCCCGCGAATTGGCAGAGAAATCACATCTCCCCCAGCACATTCTGGACCTTATCAAGTCCTTCTCCAAGGATATGCACCCAATGACCCAGTTGTCCATCGCAGTTGCGGCCTTGAACACCGAGTCCAAGTTTGCCAAGGCCTACGCTGGAGGCCTCAACAAGGCTAGCTACTGGGAGCCTACCTTTGATGACAGCATTGCCCTCCTCGCCAAGATCCCCCGTCTCGCCGCATTGGTCTTCCGCCCCAATGAGATCGAGAAGGTCGGCAAACAGGAGCTCGACCCTGCTCAGGACTGGGCATACAACTTTGCTGAGCTCCTCGGAAAGGGCGGCAAGGCCAACGAGAGCTTCCACGATCTGCTCAGACTCTACCTCGCCCTTCACGGTGACCACGAGGGTGGAAACGTTTCCGCCCACGCCACTCACCTTGTTGGAAGCGCCCTGAGCGACCCCTTCCTCAGCTACAGCGCTGGCCTCCTCGGCCTCGCTGGTCCTCTCCACGGCCTTGCTGCCCAGGAGGTGCTCCGCTGGATCCTGAAGATGCAAGCTGCGATCGGCAACAAGTTCACCGATGCAGACGTCAAGGACTACCTCTGGTCCACACTTAAGTCCGGCCAGGTCGTTCCAGGCTACGGACACGGTGTCCTGCGGAAGCCAGACCCTCGCTTCGAAGCTCTAATGGACTTCGCCAGCACCAGACCCGACATCATGGCCAACCCGGTCTTCCAGCTCGTCAAGAAGAACTCCGAAATCGCCCCCGGCGTCCTGACTGAGCACGGAAAGGTAAAAATACCCGGCTCCTTTTTTTCCTGCACTTGAACAAATATATATTTAAAAACTAACTCGATTTTTGTCCAAAAATAATAGACCAAGAACCCCCATCCCAACGTAGACGCTGCGTCTGGTGTTCTGTTCCACCACTACGGTTTCCAGGAACCCCTCTACTACACCGTCACCTTCGGTGTCAGCCGCGCCCTCGGCCCACTCGCCCAGCTCATCTGGAGCCGCGCTCTGGGTCTGCCCATCGAGCGCCCCAAGAGTATCAACCTCCAGGGCCTTCTCAACCTGTCCAAGAAATAAATTTTGTACCATTGCATTTTAGACGGTGAGAAAATGGGAGGTTTGGTATAACTGTTGAAAGTCACACTGGTGGGCTTAGGGAAGATGGTAGAGGGGGGGGGGAAAATTGCCGAGCTCGGTAAATGTGTATTAGCTATGCGTTTGTATGTATGGTAACTATGTATATATGCATGTATCTACGTGTCCATTGAATGTCATTAGAAAAGCCCAGATATCCAAAAAAAGTTGCATGTTATATCTAATTTTTGTGATATCTTTTCATGGCTTCCGTTGCTCACGATTCATATCTATCTCTTTATGTATCCGTCAATATAACAAAGAAAATGGTTATCACTGGCATTAAAAATCATTTCTTCTAAAAAACTTTCAGGAGGCTGGCTACTTTCCGCCATTCATTAAATTACATATTCTTACCCTAAAGACCCAATACCAATGATTATACAGGAAATATACATGATTTCGGCTCTTCCACATCGCCGCCTGAGAAACAACAGGAGAGCCCGCTACGTTAATTCATGTACTTTTTCAATTTGAGCAGTTTCCAATATTTGCCAATTCACGTTACTTTGAGAAATAAATGAAAATGTCCTCACCATTCGTGGATCTTCATGGCAACGCGATCCCCGAAGATCAACTTCTTGACTATGGTAGGTCGTGATGGAATGGCCGTCAAAATGCCATTGAGATATAAAAAATGTTTATCGACGTCTAGGGCGTCGCAACGGCGTTGTCCCCTGCATCAGTATCTCTAAGATGACTATTCAGCTTGCATTTATGGAAAACGGCGATCTACGTACATAGTTGGCGCGAAATCGGCCCCCTAAGTCTCTTCGACTTTTGTGGTTCCGTGAAATGTCTCGTGCTACACAGCCGTTCTGTTCTTGTGGCAGACATTGCCAGTCGCAATTTTCTCCTTGCTTCAGATCTATCTATCTGGTTTTGTGACTTTACCGAGGCGTCCATTATGGGTACTCAGCTCAGACAGATATCGGGCTGTTAGGGGCTGTAATCTATGAGGTTGTGACGGGAGAGCGTTGTCAGTTTGACCTCTTCAAGGATCTACCACTGGACGCTTGCCGAGCTCCTTGGCCACGAAGGACATCTCCACCTAGCACACAAAAACATTTGGCTTGGAGCTATCATTGAGAAATGTTGGACCAAAGGTGCATTTCAGAATGCGGATCGTCTGCTAGAGGCATTGGATTCCATCAACCTAGACAATCAGTCTACTCAGGGAAATGCGAAATACGATTGCTGCGAGCCAGGGAAGAAGGCATCAATACAGCCTATCACCAAACTCGCGGTCACTACTTGTGCCATTACAGTACTAGCCACTTGGATTTGGAGATGGTCTTAAGTACAATTGCCGTTCTGCATTCAGGTATGATACAATGTCGTTTTATCCACTAGCAAAATAAGCTGACAGATGATATGAGCCAGCGAATAGTGAGTGTAACTATGGTGTACTTGTGCCCTTCACAGAGCCTCATGAGTCGCCGCGCACTCGATCGAGTCACAAACCCTGAAAAGAACACTACGCGACTGTGATATTAGTGAGATCGTAAAGTTTCGGAGAATCCCCAAGCTCTAACCGTCATATACGGGTACGATGACCCACGGGCCCTTTGTAATAGGATCAGCCGGAGAGAGTTATAAAGAGAATGGAATGGAATATTTAAAGCCAATGGAGAATTCTGTTCTCACCGAGCCATCGCTCAGCGTTGACCTTCTGTGGTCACCAGGGGCTCTCGATGGTGAAGGGTGATAAATTCTGCCTGCTTGATATGTAGAGAGTGATAGACGCAAGCGCGCTTGATCATTGAAATCAGGTATTCAGTTCAGTAGGGGAGTAGGGAACTGCATGATTTCAACGACTACAGTGAAGATAATACAACTAAAGATAATGCAGCTGATAGTTCGACTTCAATCAGGAAGGATGGAAAGTTGAATGTTTTTAGATTGGGAGCGCAGGAATATTTATTCGATATTATTTAGGGTTTACTTCCTTCCCACCAATACGATACTAATAAATTCCCATTAATAAAACGAAACAGCTCATTTCTTCTTGCTTCTAGAGTTCCGCCGACGAGTGTGCAGATGGCGCCTTTCATAATGGGCCATAGCGGCTCTATTTTGTGCCCTGGTTGATCCGTCTTGTATCACCATGTTGTAGCTAACTTATCGCTTTAGAGAGTATCTGAGTTACTGAAATATACACATAAATCTCTATACCATTCTATATACAGTATTCTTGACATAGTCATATTCTCTACACTGTAGGCTTAGAGCTAGCTCATTGATCATGCAAACAGCTCCTCCTGCATATATTCAACCCCTGAGGGGACGATTCCGCAGCAATTGAGCCTATGAGCTCCGCATGGGCATTGATACGAATCTAACCTCTGGGAAATGTGAGATGATGATGATGATGATGATGTGGAACAGTATGCTCAGTAACTGCCTACCGCCCCGGTGGCCGAATGGTTAATGCGGCCACCCGGTAGCGCCTTGGCGTGGGAAACCAGGGCGTGTGGGTTCGAAACCCGCAGGGGATACATTAAATCCGGAACCCAAGCACCTCAGGTTCCTAATAAATACAGAGGTGTACAAATCGCTCCAATAAAATTGCTCTATGTTCCTGGGCTGGGAAGTTATTATCGCATGTATTTAATTGTCACTCCTTTGTATTTCCTATGTTCTTGTTATCTTGGCGTGGTCTCAACACCTGTATTTTCCTCCTGTATAACCAACACTTGGCCTGTATTTAACATCACGCAAGGACTCATCATAAGCTCCGCTTGCATATGAGTATAATGGAAGAATAATAATAATAATAATAATAGTAACTGCCTACCGCATGGATCTGCCTTCACAAGAGAGCAGGAGAGGATTCTGCCCTGGCCTTTCATCGATCCCATGACGTACTCCATACTGGGCAGCTTGGGAAAACTTTTGGGAAATTTGCAATTGTTTTAGCAAAATTGTCTGGATGGTAGGTGGGGTTGAGGAGTAGACAATAGTTTCCTCGTTGAAGGGTTGCCGTTCCTGGATCATTTACATGTGATCTGAGAGAAGCGAGTGATAGTACGGACTCCCACAGTATTCCACGTTGGCCGACGTGAGCAAGCGGTTCTGGAAGTTGGCGCATACGCAATAGTCCGAACATTATACCGTTAGGGAATTGGACTCGAGCGTCCACGGGTGGGGTGGCTGCTCCAGTTGACAAATGGGGTTGAGCCCTCCCCCGTTCAAATCCCATGGATGGGGTGAATACTCGAGACATAAATGAGCTGGGCGCGTCCACAATAGAGACGTAGGACATCACAAGAACAAAAAATTGCCTTGCAGTAGCTGATGCATGAACATACTGTGATGGTTCAAGGGTCACTCACCTCACTGGGTTTGCACCGCCAGCCTAAATAAGGGAAGTTCAGTTTGCTTAGCATGTCAATGCTTGCATTTGTGAATATCAGGTCCGGTGTATCTATCCTTTGTATCCTTGCACAGGCGCAAGGGGCTAACTTCCCGGATAAACCTGTAGCCTGTAACTAATCCGTGGGGAAGGACATATGCAAATCATCACTGGTTGTTGCAGTGTTGCTCCACAGTGACTTTGCGTGGAACATAATTCAGGTTCTGTGTAGCTAGATTGGTTGGCCCGCAGTGTTGAGAATGGCTTTTGCCTTTTGCTGAATTGCTAAATGTGAAGAGAAGGAGGACTTGTTATCTTTTCTGTTGTCTTTTCTCTTCCTCTCATTTGATATTGTTGGGGGTCCCGCGGTTGGTCGGCCCTTCTACCAGCAGGCGCTGGTGGTGATTGAGCTCTTTTGCCCCAGTAGCCTACAGATATCCATCTTTTTTTTGGAGGTGCAGGATAGTGATTAGTAAGCCAACTTACCCAACTACTATTGAACCTCTGAAATGCCTTCATTTGCTGCATAAATATTCTCATTTTTAGTACTCCGGATGGATACCCAGAGATATGTGCTCCGCTGCCTAGCCCGATCCCAAGACACTGGCATTCGGCACATCTATTGGCCATTCCACCTTTCTTCCCCCCTGGCGCGCCCAAATATGCAGCCGTCCCACGCCTCCCGAGGTCATACTGTAGTAATACTATCCTCCGCTAGTTCTTTGAAGGCGACTTAGGTTCCTCTTCCATGGCCTCAGCAACAACCCGTTTAGGAAAACCTCTCAGCTCCAGGGCTGTCGGCGCATCACATATTAAAATTAAGACACCTGTTTGCAACTGGGAAGGGGGACAGACAGAGGACACATATCCCAGGTACAGCACTCACCGCTTGGGGAAACCATTCATAAAAATATCATGCGATTGACAAATACCCGGACTTGCTGCCCTGCTTGCGCTGCTCTGCTTGGTTGTCTGGCTCCGGTTACCCGCCGAGGCTGGATATCATCCTGTCTATATGCGGTTGTCATATCATTTTCCTTTGGGGACCTCGGGAGATCCGGGGTTCTGGAAACCAAACCGGGCTAACTATGCAAGCAAGAGTTGGCATATAAATTATACATAAGAGATGACGGCGCGAACTGGGGAGAATAGGAGCCCCTGAGGCGATAATTTCGTGGACATCCCCGAATCGAGGCAAATGTGACATTGTCTTAGTTACTCCGCCGGGCCACTCCATGGATGGGACATACAAATATCTACCTGTAGGTATAAGAGTCTATATATATATATCTAGGTGAATAGCCCGAGCATAGTGTGTGCGGCCAACTTCACGCAATATAGTTATAGCCATGATCGCTTCCAGCGTGGTTGACACTACCTCCTCTCTACGCCGGCTTATCGACAGCCTCGATAACCTCCCATCAAATCCACCGTCGCTGTATATCGACCTTGAAGGCATCAACCTCTGTCGCGAAGGTAGCATCTCGATTCTTCAAATCTTCAACCACCCCAAGGAGCATGTCTACCTCGTCGACATCCACCACCTTGGTGAAGCAGCCTTCACAACAACCGGAACAAATGGAAAATCGCTCAAGAGCATCCTAGAATGCCCAGTTACGCCCAAGGTCTTTTTCGACGTCCGAAACGACTCGAACGCACTGTTTTTCCACTTCGGAATCCGCCTTCAGGGCATCGAAGATATTCAGCTTATGGAAAATGGGTCGAGACCGGGTCCACTCTCGAGAAAAAAATTCGTCTCGGGCCTAGCGCGGTGTATAGAGATGGACACGCCGGTTTCTCCGGCTGCCAAACGACTCTGGAAGGAAAATAAGGATAAAGGAACGCAGCTCTTTGCGCCAGAGCGCGGCGGCTCTCATGAGGTGTTCAACGTCCGGCCTATCCCACAGGCTATTATAGACTATTGTGTGCAAGACGTCTCTTTCATGCCCCTGCTACGAACACTCTACTGGAGCAAACTCACGCCGCATTGGAAGTCCGAGGTTGTTGGTGCGACGAAGGAGCGGATTCGGGTGTCCCAGACCCTCACATACCAGCCAAATACTAGGGATAAGACACTAAGCCCATGGCAGAGCCTTAATACTAAGACGGTTGGTATGGCCAATGGTCTGATGGGGCGACTTGAGTTGTTTGGCGGCAGGTGACTGGTTTGGAATAGACGGAGTGGAAGATAAACGGAAAGGAGGATGGGAGGGTAGTTAGGGGCCCCCTTATTTTTTGGAAGAAATGGCTTAAACTAAGTGCGTGTGAAGTGGATTCATATTGATGCCGTTACGATTTTTGCGGGGTTAGATTCTTCCTTTTTATTAACTTTCCTCGCCCTGATTTTTACTTGAGGTAATTGTTTTTGATGGATATGGCACTGTATGCATCGGAATACCTACTATCTACAAATGTAGAAATGCAAATGGAATTTCGGAAACGGGAGCTGCTGCTGTGAAATGGTTAATGCGGATCAAAATACTCCTTCGCAACAGTGCGCAAAGAGGGGTGGACATGCCGGGCTAATCTCAAAGCGTTACTAACTAGTAGTTATGTATTATTTATTTTGCAGGGCTATGACATACGTAGTTTAGCAAAGAGATTTTGATCAATCACTTTTCACCCCATTATTATTCAATTATTCCGTCGCGAACTCGCAAGAAAAAACCGGGCTCGGTGATGATAGGCCCAACGCACGAATTCCAGAGCAAACAACAAACCTCGAATTAGGGTGCTTGGGACTTATCTTCCAGTTAAAAAGAACACAAGTAAATAAAATGTGCCCCATGAGAACGACCATGGAGTTCCCAAATTTTGGGAAGCGCGACGCTCGTTTCGAGTCGTGGTGGAAGGGATATTTGCCTATCGTTTGCCGTAACTAAACTACAACTTCATATCGCATTTTCATTTTGGTGTGTTGGAGAGTTTTCTCCGCATTCGCCTAGAATAAGATAGTGTAACCTATGCCTATCTCATTAGTTCTGGATCATAAAACCTCTTCCCCCCCCCTTCTGCCCTTGAAATAATGAGCTGTGTAAACGAAGTAGCTAAAGGTCTAGCTGAAAATATTTGATTGAAAAATCTAGTATTCTAAATTGGCCGCTCTTTTGAAAATAAGAGCAGCGTTGTACTAACTAACGTAAACCTGTGGTTGAAGATGTAAGTTTTGGGCTTAATACTGGACGAAAAAGGCGGGCCACCACCAAATTCTGATACAACGAAAAGAGTAAAATATGCATAATTATTGTATCACAAAGACCACTTCATAGTTTAACACGCGCGTTGACAAGGGCGTCCCATTCCCTCCGCCCAAACTCCACGTACGTATCATTCTGCGGAAGAAGCCACAAGAACTGGTCATCCCTCCCTTCAGGAACCTTCGTCCCTACTTTATCAGGATCAACACCCTCATCTCGCAGGGGAACCTTGTTCTGCTTCTGGTTGTGGGTATGGTTGGAAGCTTCAACGAGGCGCAGGAACACCGGCACCGCATACTTGGGCAGCCTTTCGCGCGCATAGCGGACAAGAGCGGCAAAGTCGAAGTTGGCCCGCTGGTCGGGCTCGATGAGGATAGCCGCACAGCCAGCACGGCCTTCGTGGGTGGGGACGGAGACGCCGTAGACGTTTGCCTCCGCGACACCGGGGTATTCGCCCAGCACGGTCGCTACTTCTGCGGTGGACACGTTCTCGGATTTCCAGCGGAATGTGTCGCCGAGACGGTCGAGGAAGTGCCAGTGGCCGTCATCTGTGCGGCGCAGGGCGTCGCCGGTGCGATAATAGATGTCGCCTTTCTTGAAAACGTCCCGGACGAACTTCTTGGCTGTCGCGTCGGGGTTCTTCCAGTAGCCCTGGAAGGCGGATTCGTCGGGGACGGAGATGATGATTTCGCCGCCTTCGCTGTAGGGAGCGCGGGTTGCGAAGCCGGTTTTTGGATCGCGGTACATGTCTCCGGTCATGGGGTCGATAACGACGGGGACATAGACGTTATGCATCAGGCGGCGTAGGATGGCGCCGTGGTGTCCAACGCAGCGGGATTGGTAGGGACCACTGTCGTAATTGATCAGGGCAAATAGACCCTCTGTGCTACTGAAGAACTCTGCAACGTTCGCAATACCGAACCGCTCCTGGAATTTCTCCCAGACGTCGGGTCGCAGACCGTTGCCGTACATGCAGCGAAGTTTGTGGCCGCGATCTAATGGCGAAGGTGGAGCCGCAAGGAGATATCTAGCTGTTTCTCCAACGTAAACGAAGTATGTCGATTCGGAGTCATGGATGTCTTTCCAGAACCTGCTTGTACTGAACTTCTTGGCTATCGCAATGCTCACACCAGTGAGAATGCAGGCCATGACGCAGACTGAGGCGGTACCATGATACATCGGCATGCACACGTACCACCGGTCGCCTCCATAGCCCTTTTTATCGCGTAGATGCTTTTGGAAGATCGTCGTATGCAACCGAAGCATGGTAAATGCGCACCCCTTGGGCAACCCAGTTGTGCCTGATGTGTAGAGAAGCATGGATGGGAAGCCACCCTCCATGCTGCGAGCAAGGCTTTTGTCGGCTACAGTTGTCGGGAACGAGGAGATGTGACTCTTCAGAGAATCATCTAACAATATGGGATGCATCTTCACATCATTTTCAATCTCGGTCCTCTGGTCATTAATCCGCGCTGTGATTTCCGGGTCCGCGTCCACAAGTAGGATTTCCGCTTCGCTGAGTTTGAGGCAGTGAATAAGCCCAGCTCCCGTGAGGTTGTAGTTGATCATCGCGGGGCCACATCCGATAGCCCACAGGCCGAGCCATGCGAAAACAAACTCTGGGGAGTTCTGCAGATAGAATGCCACCAGCTGGCCACGCTTCACGCCAATAGAAAGGAAATAGTTGCCATACTGGCAGGCAATATCGAGAACCTGCTGGAAGGTATAGGAGCCGGTCCTTGACCAAATACAGAGCGCATCGGGGAACTGTTTGACGACGGCCTTGAAGACATACCACACATTTAACCGACCTTCGGCCGCTACATTATGGTTGAAACACGAACTGTTAGACCGGCTTGGGATATATCAAATCAGGAACAAGGAGAATTACTTACTCGCACGGACAGCAATACGTTCACTGCGACTGGTCCGATGGACCGTGTAGATGTCCTTTCTGAGCTGGTACTTGCCATCAAGATAGGCCCCCAAGGCACCGACACCAGCAACGGCGGCAGCAGTAGCTACTCATACCAATCTGTTAGCCCAAGTCGTAGTCCGTAAAAGATCGGTTAGGGGTGTGGTGTACCCAAGACCATCTTATTTCAAGTGTATCACACTCCTCTTCTTCGTGACAACGGGAAGTGCTCTCTGTTCCTCAGAAAGGGGTTACTGTTACTGGACACAAGAGTGTCCAGGCACTTGGGATGTGCCGGAATTTCAACCGGCAATTGAAACACAGCCGGAAGAAAGGTGTCAACTACAACGGCGTAACACAAGATTCAAGTCTATCGCCGCTCAAGACAGCATAGAGATTGAACAAAGAGAAAGAAAGTATTAAGCGGGGGTATAGGAACTCTCTACACCAGAAAGCCAAAGATAGCTAGCTATGCTGCGACTCTCTTATCCCCCAACAACTTCCCCCACTGGACTATCATATCCTCGGCTCATCTCCATCGTAGACAGGTAGGCGCCCAAACCGACCGGTAGCAGAACCGCCATTTTGCCTAGGTAAAGGCCTCAACGGGCCGAAGGCCTGATTTGCTAGGAACCACGAAGTTCCACCCCAGTTTTTCCATAGCGCGGGTAGTCCACTTTAGAAATTAGCGGGGGAGAGCTTAACCAGCGACGATACGATGGGATAGAGAGAGAGTGGAGGTGGAGATAGTGAAGCTGGAACGGAGATGGCCCGTCGGTTATGTGACTTGATAACCCTAACTGCAATGATTTGCTTGCTTTCTATTGCAAATGACGAGCGGGAACATTAACTACGGTCGTGTGGTGTCTGGTAACCTGATATTCAGGGTGTTGGCTTAGTTTCGTTGAATTTTCGAGTAAAGAGTTGGGCTTCATAACATCCGCCTTCGTTGGGTATAGCACAAATAGTAGCAAATGGCAAGTAATTCAAAACCGCGTTTAGGAGAACTAATTGTCAGGCTAGGTTATTCATGCAAAGAACAAAATTTGATATCTGATATCAAGAAGTTTGCGGATGGATCTTGAATTAGGGTTTTTTGGTTCACATGACCCGAAAGCCCTCCAACTTTTTTCCTGATGATCTTCAACTCAATCACTCCTTAATCTACATACAACTACTCCGTACAGAGTAGTTACACACCAACCGATTGCAATTCATGAGCACGGTGAATGGAGCTGCCGTGCGAGAAAAATATAATGAGTACCGCTGGCTCGCTAATTGCGAGAGCACTGCCACATTTTCCCAATTTGAACCTGTCAGCTGCTATCCTGATGTCTGCGACACGCCTGAAACGTCAAGAATCTCAAATCAAGCCCGATAACATCCAAAACGGCAAACACCAGTGCTAACCTCAGACAATTGATGAATTGATGCTCTATATACTCACTCAGCTACCGTCTCAATGAACCATAGCCCTCATGCCTTGATTGTGTCAAGGATGCATTAGAGCTTGCCGCCCATTTCAAAATTCCCCGTTTCGGGATCCCATCTTGATATGGAAAATGCTATATATAAGGTCTAAAGGCAATTTATAGATCCTTTGGATCGGATCGAACTTTTTGGGTATTTTTATTTTTATTTTGGTCTATTCTACTATTTTCTGTCTGTTCGGCACAAATATCTTTCGTTGATATACCTCCTATTGCTTTGACAGTACCATACCATACAAGCAGAGTAATTACGTTCTTGCAAGTCCAACTACCTTTATCAGCCTTTAATATACGTATACGATAAATGTACCAGCACAAATTCTGGTATCATGAAATCCCACTTGTTCTTCGTGACAGCGCTCTTTGCACTCGCTGCTTCCCAGAAAGTTGCCGTCCCAGCAGACCTAGCCCAATCATTCTCGGCCTCTGCCACAGAGGGTCTCCAAGTCAGTTTTGGTGGCGATGCATCTGAGGGTATTACAAATGGCCAAACAGTCAGCATAGGTGGTTAGATTATTCCCTTTTCCAATTCTCTCTCAGTGTATGCCAATTCTTACCATCCATCCAGATATCCGCAGTCCACCCACTTTCGCTCTTGGCGACAGCTCTGGCGTCAATCGTGCCATCTCGTACACAATCGTAATGCTCGACACGACCGATGATATCGCGCGGAAAGTACAATATCTTCAGACTGGCTTCAAAGCGACTGGTGACAAGACCAGGCTTGAAGCGACAGGGGAGCCGGCTGTCCCATATGAACCACCATCTGTAGCTAGTGGAGCACACCAGTTTTCGTTCCTTCTATACCAACAACGGGGCCAAGAACTGGTACAACTAAGTGCCGTACCCAGTAACGGCGCTGGCTCCACGGAGCCGTTCGATCTAAAGGCATTCGAAGCTGCGAATAACCTCCAGCCGCCGCGGGTCGGGATGGCGATTAGAGTTGATGGGAATGCTGGTGAGCTTGGGCAGAGTCCTTCATCTTCAACGTCTGCACGAGTATTCATACCAATTGGCACACAAGCGACTTCTTCTTCTATCTCCACTCCTGTATCTATTACCACTTCTCCGCCGAGCACTTCGCCCTCCAGCACAGCGTCAATGACAGATGACACAGCACCAGGTTCTTTTCCGTTCACATTTACTTTCAACTCTGTCACTTTACCTTCGCTTTCACTTTCACTGGCAAGCCTAGATTCCCAATCATCATCAGACCAATCACTCACTAGACCAGCCCCTACAACCCCATCTTCTTCCCTATCCGATTCCCCGTCTACTTCTCCGTTCGCCTCCGACGCCCCGTCGGCATCTTCAGGAAAACCGCGAACAAGTACTGTGGTCGTTACGGAAAGCCCCACTAGCACACCCTTTGACAGCTCCGGTGTACTTCTAGGAGCTGATGCGGAAGGGGATAGTGGGAATTCAGCTGCAGGAGGCTTGCATGAATCGTCGTATGCAGCCATCTTTGTAGCGGCAGTCATGCTACTTGCACAAATTAGTTGGCACACGGTAATGCTCTAAGTGTATCTGGGTAGTGTTTCAGAAAGGACTTTCGGTATAGTTTCCAAGGAAAAGAAACGTCGGTTCGCGGGTGAAATCTTCCGAATGTGGCGTTCCTTTTTTTTAGGATTTGAGAGTTGCTTCCGTTTTGGTATATGTTTCTCAGTTATGCAGGCTCATGGCTTTAATAGTTCTATTCTCAGCTGGATTTCTGAAAGTCATTTTTCGCGGAATATGGGAGTTTTTTCAGCTTGTTTAGCACCCCTTTGTTACTCCATTTGATGCTGGACATGGACATGGATGAAGGGGCTATGTGATTTTTCTTCTTTTTGGAATGGGCATGCAAATATCGAATGAGAACAATGAAGATGCAGGGCATTTGAATATACCACATGCATCTGTTAAACAAATAAATATAGTATATAATCAATTATTTACCTTTGGCCGCTAGGAACACGAAAAATTAGAAGGATAATTTAGCTGCTGACTGACTATGGCGATTCAAACTCCATAAGCACTAAACAATTATATAGTTTCTTAGGCTGGTGATATTCCTTGCAAGCTGAACACTCTAGTTGACAAATGGAGATACTTCAGACTAAAAATAACAAGAGAACCAGTTTTGCAGCTATAAATTCAGCTTACAACATCCATGGACCGACCCAGCTTCAAAGAGATCCTGGCCCTAGAAGATAGAGGCAGTCTTGGTAAGTAGGGGCCTTGATATGTCAGTCGTTCAGCTTCATGAGCTATGCTTATTGATCCATAGAATGACAATATGGACGAATTTCAAAATCCCCATCATTCTCCTTGTTGAATGCCCACCTTTCGTCAACAGAATTTACTTCATCTTGTGCTACTCAAACGTCCTCGATAATGCCTACCAAGCCCGTCGTCGTGATCGTGCCCGGCTCCTGCCACAGGGCCGAACACTACCAGTGATTAATCGACGAACTCGCAAAATGCAACTATGAAGCGACAGCCGTTACCCCGCCGTCACTGGACTCCAACCCTCCGCACCGCAGCTGGGACCAGGACGCCCAGGCGGTACGGCGTGTGGTCATGGAGAACGTCGAAGCGGGAAGGGATGTGATTGCACTCGCGCATTCATTTGGCGGCGTCGCGATGGGCGAGGCGGTAAAGGGGCTGGGCAAGCGGGATCGTGAAAAATATGGCTTGAAGGGGGGTGTCGTGGGTCTTATCTATATGATCGCGGTGGCACTCGTTGAAGGACAGAGCCAGGCGACCCTGATCGTACCGCAAACGCCGAAGGAGAAAGAGTTGGCGTTGGCGTATCAGGAGGGCATGAAGAAATATCCCAAGGGCATGACGCCTATCAATGAGGTATGTAAAAGGAAAACACCCATGATACTGAACAATGCTCTTCCTTCCACCCAACCTTCTAATTACGGCGCTTCTCGACCCATACTCATGCGCCCTGTCTGATTCAAAAATAAACTGAGTACCTCATCAGGCTAGGATGATAGTTCCTGACCGGGAAACGACCCGCCAAATCGTCTATAGCGGTGGCTGCGATCCCAAGGACGTAGAGGAGGCCCTCGATCTGCTAGGAGCCCAACCCATAGCCCCGATGGGAGTGCCTGTGACGTACACGGCCTATCGAGAAATCCCAAGTACGTTCATTTTGTGTGAGAATGACCTGGCCGTCCCGCCATACATCCAGGAGAAGATGGTTGCGCAGGCCGGCGATGCCATGGAAGTTGTACGTTGCCAGGAGGGCCATGCGCCGCATCTGAGTAATCCGAGATTGGTCGTGGAGTGTATCCGGCGTGCTGCAGGCGAGAGTGTTTAGAGGGCCATTGAGCTCCTTTATGTAACTGCTTGCCACTTATCAAGTTCTGTTCGAGCGATTTGATGCGTGTGTAGCCGCCGTTATAGAGATCTTGAATGGCTTCGTCCTTCGTGTTCGAGAGTTTTGAATGTTATACTCTGAGTGTTTGTTAATGATGAAAATGTACCTCCGTGGGAGTAGCGAACGAAAAAGCCTTTCATGAACAGTTTGACAATTAGATTTAAGTAATATATCTAGAAGTATAAAACATCACACGTTATATATGTTATGAGGTTATATACTTCCTTTGCCAATAGAATACAAATGAAAAAACAGAATTTGTACAAGAGAGAGTACATAAAAGTTACTATATTTAAGATGACGGTGTGATAGGATACCCAGAAAGCGGTAGTGTAGTGAAGAGCTAGAATCATGATTGAGGAAGTGAATTTAGAATTATGTGTAGAAAAGGAAATAGATACAAAGATAAATTTTGATTGGAAATATGAAAACCTAGTTCATAATCATAGACACAGGAGTTCTCCCCCAACTGCTTTATTAACCATGAACCTAATTGGCATTTCAAGTCAGAAGAAAACACCCGCACCCACCCTATGGCATACTTTTAATCTATGTATATACATTTTACATTTTAAAATATGTCCATCTCAGGACGACGTAGCCACCGCCGCCCTAATCCTCAAGTCTAAAAATCGACTTTTTCCTTAACGTACAGATCGACATACTTATCAATGTCCATAGCCTCAAGGGTCTTCTGGTCAAGGCCAAGCTTAATAAGCTGGTCAACCTTGGCAGCATCATAGTGCCCCTCGAGGTGTCTCTTGTACTTGGCAAGGATTTCAGGCTTGGCCTCTTCACGACGTAGGCGGTGGCCGAGCGGCGCATCGACCACGACCTCGTCGAGGACAGTGCCGTCGTTTAGGGTAACGGTCAGGGCGTTGGGGATGGTGCGGAGGGCTGGGTCGTGGTAGTCCTTGGTCATCTGTGGGTCCTCAACGCACTTGATGCGCTTGCGGAGAGACTCGAGGAGCTCAGAGGTGGCGGCTTCGGAGCCGTCGGTGTAATCGGTTGCGACGAGGCGGTTGAAGACAAGCATGGTGGCAACCATGTACTAATTCAGTGTCAGTATGTATTTTAATGAAGAGGTCTGAGGGATGGGGGGGTGATTGTAGGACTAACCTGGATGCAGTGGTCGCGGTCAGCGAAGTTGTCCATGGGCTTGAATTGTTTGTCGATGATGCGGACGCAGGCCTCGTGGGTGCGGATGGTGACATCCCTGATGTCCTTGGCGGATTTGCCCATGCTGGCCAAGGTCTTGTTGATGTGGGTCGCAGCCTCAATGGCGGTTTGCGAGTGGAATTCAGCTGTACATGATGCGTTAGCGGGTGTTATCTATGGAGTGGGAAACGCTTTCATAGCACGAAGAAAACTTACCAGGCCAGGAGACCTTGAAGAGTACGTTCTCCATCACGTAGCTGCCATAGGGGCGCTGGAACTTGAACTTGTTGCCCTTGAACAGGACATCGTAGAAGCCCCAGACTGGAGCAGAGAGGACAGTGGGCACACCAGTCTCACCCCTTTGGACCTTGAGGGCGAGGTTGACGGCGCGCTGGCAAGCGTCACCGGCAGCCCACGACTTTCTCGACATGGTGTTGGGGGAGTGTCTGTAGGTTCGCAAGCTCTGACCATCAACCCACGCCTGGGTGAGGGCATCGGCGGTCTGCTTCTCATTCAGACCAAGCAGCTTGGAGACAGCAGCAGTTGTAGCAATCTTGACCAGTACCACGTGATCCAAGCCGACTTTGTTGTAAGAGTTCTCGAGAGCGAGAACGCCCTGGATTTCGTGGGCCTTAATCATAGCCTCGAGCACATCACGAACAGTGAGGATTTTGCCGTTGCCCAGGGATCCGCCAGCGCGGTTTGTCCGCGAGATCCAGTCAGCGACGGCAAGGATACCGCCCAAGTTGTCAGAAGGATGACCCCATTCAGCAGCTAACCAGCAGTCATTGTAGTCCAACCACCGGACCATGGCACCGATGTTGAAAGCACCATTGACGGGGTCGAGCTGATATGGAGTTCCAGGGACCTTGGTACCATTGGGAACAACAGTTCCCTCAACAATAGGACCCAGGAGCTTCGTGCACTCCTTGAATTTCAGAGCCTCCAATCCACACCCTAGAGTGTCAAGGAAGACCCAGCGGGCAGTATCAAACTAGAAAGCAATTCGTTTCAGTAAACATTAATTTGTACAGCAAATTGGGAGAGCTATTTTATTTAGGAATTGCAATTCCATACCGCGAGTTCTGAATCGACTTTGTAGTGGTGAATGTAGCTAGCCATATCATTGATTTCAGGGTCATATTCACGAGCCGGAGCCGGGGTGACCGGAGCAGCAGAGTTGAGGGCGGACATTGTGGAAAAGGAAGATCTGGATTGCAAAAGCTTGCTAGAGAAAGCTGATCTGGAGGAAGACGAGCGAAGAGAGGAGGCTGCTAGAGATGAGGTTGTGAGTTGGCGGAGGGGAAGAGATCGTGGGGCGCGGGAAGATAGCTGTCGCAGGGTTTGGCTGGCGACAGACATGGTCGGAAGCAAGTGTAGGGTAGTATGCACTTCTGTTTACAACACTCAGCAACAGGATCCAGCAGATTATATACAAGCAACAAAAGGTAGGGGAGAGGAAGAACGCAATTGATCTGGAATTCCTTACTTGAGAGATGTTGTCCTTGATGTGTGTCTTGAAGCAGTTCAAGTTCAATGCGTTTCTTGCTGGGGGAAGAAGTTCGGAGTTTGGGGAGATAGTCACGTGGGGTATTTGTCTCACCATGGTTGCCGAGCCGAGGATACGCCGAAAACAGACCCGCATCCAGCCGGTATGGTATTGGTATTATCGGATACTAGCTTGGTTTGTATGAGTTATCGGAGACTAGGACGTATTAATCAGTAAGTTAACTGTGCGTATTCCCGATATCACGAGGCTCGGCTACGAGCGAAAGATTGAGTGGTCGGTCGCATCCGATAGTTATCTTATCTTATCTGATGCTGGTGCCGAAGCTGGGCTAAGAACATCGCCGGATGCTTCAAAATTGCTGCATTGGGGAATTAGCGAGCTTCAACTTTACCCAGGAGTGGAAGATGTCTCTATATGCTGACCATATTCGTGAATTATTATTTCTTTCTATTAATATAGTTATGCTTTGTCTCTTATTTGCATTGCCATCACCACAATAACAAATGAACGATCGTTTGTAAATGATCTGTTTGTTTGCCCGCTCGCTGCGGGTGTTTCCACCGCAATCATTCTTTATTATGTACCCTAGAGTTATCGTACTACCTTGTATGAAGGAGAGTGACACTACCCAGTGTCCATCATGTGTCAGACAAAGCCTTTTGTCCACGGCACGTTCCTTATTATTTCCAGGTTTCTCTCAGGTCCTCTTTTTTGGCCTCCGTGTCAAGACAAACTAAAGCTATAAAACAGCTTGATATCATTGCAGTACACGTTCATAGTTCTACACTGCTATCGACCGCTTTACTCTTACAAAAATCATATTTGAATATACGATCCTGCCTTTCATTCACATCTTGTTTGATATCCCTGTGCCAACGAACCTATGGTGTCCCTTGGGAAGCCGTCGTGGATGACACGACGCTCAAAGAATCGCGCTACCGTATCCCTTGAAATCAAAGCACAAGCTCTGCTAATCATGGAACAGATATACCTTGATATCCATCTTGCCTCTCTTGAAAGTCAGAATAACTCATCAGAGCACATGTCAACAAACCCCAACACCTTCGCAGCCACCGCAAGCCGCACCCTGTCATCCGTCGGAGAAGCCATGATGAATGAAGACGCCCCACGCGACCTTCAGCTACAGCGTTTTATAGACCTAGGCAAGTCGCTAAGCTGGATGATTCTGGGGATCTGCAGCCATTCAACTCACTTCATCGCCGCTGCTGCTGCTGGGGACGGCGACGGCGATGAACTCTGGAAGGAGCTGTACACCCTAATCCGCTCAAACGACATCAGCATTGAACTCTTCGCGGAAGTCCGTTGCCTGAGCTGGTCCCTCGCTGACCCCATCGCGGCCCGGCTAGATAAAGGTGGAAAGTTAGGAGTCGAAGAGCAGGATACGTATCCCTACGTCATCGACCTGGCCCAAAAAGCCATCTACCACCCCAAACACTTCACCAGGAGACAAGAAAACATCACCAGATCTCGCTTCTTTCGAGATGTCTTCGACCCTTCCGAAAATCTCCGCCGCCAACCCGGCGATGGCAACTGCGCTATATGCACCAGCCCACAGATATGCGAATGCCAGCTCGAGCTAGCGGAAGAGAAACACCCACTCCTCGAGCTGCGCGAGTACCCCGATCGCGGCATCGGCGTCCGCAGCCTCCGTTCCATCAAAGCAGGCACCTTCATAGGTGAGTATGTCGGTGAGATTCGCGATCCGGCCTATCGCCTCGGTTCTACCTACGGGCTCCATCATACCCTACATGGACGGTCGATTGGCGTCATCGATGCGGCTGTCTATGGGAATTGGACGAGGTATATGAACCACTCGTGTCGGGCGGGAGTGGTTTTTGTCTCCACGGTGGTGGGGGATCGTGCGTGTGTGCTCGTGAGGGCTATTAGGGATATTGAGATGTTTGAAGAGATTACGGTGGATTATGGGGATGAGTATTTTATGCCGCGGCATAGGGTGTGTAAGTGTGGGGAGGAAGTATGTCGGTTTAAAGAAGGGGGGGGAAGTGGAATGGAGAGGGCGGTGGAGGAGGTGGGAGGATATCACACGTTGTATAAGTCTTTATCTGCTGCGCAGCGCTATCTTTAGGAGGAGAATTTCCCCCCCCCAAGGCTATATGTACTGTGCACTAGTCGGTACGAGTTTCAGTAGCCTACCTACATAAATTGCCCCTATCCAGAGATGTTCTCACAACTCGGCAAGGCGTGAATATTGGAGAGGAAACAGATGTAACATTCCGTAAATGCGACATGGAATTTTCCTAATATTGATGAGAAGGCCACGAGATTGAAGCAAGCAATAGCGAATCAGGAATACCAGAATCGTTGATGGAAAATAAAATCTCTGACAACTAGCGTAATCTAGCATAAATACATATTGGCAGATGAACAACATTTCAGCGGTACAGAACTGAACTCCCACTCCAGCTTCCAGTAGTGCATGGAACAAAAAAGAAAAAGAAAAAAAAATCCAAAACCAAGAACAAGAACAAAGATTTCAACATAGATGGCAGAGATGAGAAAGATGTCCAGACATGAAAGTACAACGATAAGACAAAAAATGAGCAGATCAAGACAGAGGGACAACGAAAATAGCACAAAGAAGGCATCCATACCCAACACGGCCCTACACGTTTCATATCATAGCGTCAACAACGTATAGCAAGATAGAAAATTCTTCTTTCATCTACATGCCACCACACATCATACAGGCCGCTCAATCCCTTCAGAATGAAACACACACAGATCCGTTCAAACACTCACTCACAGTATCTCCACCATCTCCCTCACGTCAGCATCAACACCAACACCAACCCCACCACCAACTTTTCCCTTCCTCTTCCCCTTCTCCACATCACCATCAACCCCATCAACCCCTTCCAGCGCCCTCCTCACTTCCAAAAAGATCGCCCGCCCCAGCACCGGCGGCACCGCATTCCCAATCTGCCTCTTAACGCTCTTCCCGCAAAACCGATGCTCAAGCGGGAACGTCTGCAGGCATGCAAACTCGCGGTACGTGAACGTGCGCGTGCCGCTCGGGTGGTAGTTCTCGCCCCCGTTGCAGGTTATGGTCTTTGCTTGCGTGTGCGGGTCGTAGGGTGGTCGGGCCATCGGGCGTCTGCTGGCGTACGGGACGTCGTGGTCTGGGTGGTTAGGGGGGATTGTGGAGATGGCGTCGTGGATGGTACGGTAGCGGGGGAGGACGGGGGTGTTGTATGTTTGAGTGTTTGAGGTATCTGGGGGGCCGTGGGTGGGTTTTGGGAAGGGGGGGAGGGGTTCGCCTGGTCTGTAAGTTGGTGGTGAGTTGATGGTTGAGATAGAACCGGGGATGTATATATATGTATACATATAGAAGAAAAATAACCCCGTGAGGATTGAGGGAGAAAAGCGGCTAATAATACATACCCTGATGCCAAAATAACCAGCCGTTGACGAGACTGGGGGACCCCGTAATCCTGACACCGGAGCAATTTCCAACGACAAGAATACCCCAGTTCCGCAAAGGCATTTATGGTCGCGAACAGGAATTCCTCATGCCTCTGTTGCAGTCCCGCCGTTTCCTCCATGGTCACAACCCTAGGCTTAGTTCTCTCTAGCAGCTCGCGCGCGCAGAAGATGCACGCTTCATTATCATCGTCCGTGGCGGCGGCGATCGTTTTCGCCGGCGAAAAAGTTTGACAGGGAGGGGAAAAGTGTAGGATATCCACCATGATTTCCGCGGGGCTGTTGGCGAGAAAATCCGCCACGTCAGATGTATAGCCAATTGCGCTCTCGAAATTGAGCCGGAACGAGTCCATGGCGGATAGGGAGTGATCAAATCCCCAGTTCAAGCGGAGACCCGCTTGTAATGCGCCCCTGGATACCCCGCCTGCACCGCAGAAGCCATCTCCAAATGTGTACTGCTGGACGGTTGTTGAGGTACCGCCCAGGATTGTCGGGGTGTTCGTTGACAGATCTATTATTGTTGGTGTGATTTCTTGACCGATGTAGCTTCCACCCAGCCGCGTTTCACCTCTCCAGCGAAATCGCAGCGAACAAGCGTCAACCGAATAGCCAGAGTCTGCTTCGTGCGGACGGAGGAATTGAATTGCTTGCTCTTCCATCCGTGGTTTGCGGGCAGACGGAGAAGCAGAAGTAGAGGCGGAAGGAGTAGTCCATACCCTGATATACTTCGCGCGGCAGAATAGAATCCCCTCCCGCCGTCGCTCACCCTCCGTCGCAAAACCGCCATTGTCACCATGTAGCATCGGATAAAGCTTGTTCGTAAACCGAATGATCCTTAAGCCGTTAACTTCGTGTAAGCCCACCTCGTCGACCTGGGTAGTTATACCCGCAGCAGCCTCCTCGTCCGAAATATTCACGATCCAGCACAACTCATTGATGCGCTCAGGCATCAATCCGTCCATGGTATCTTGTCGCTGAAGCCGCCAACCCCGCAGTGATATCTCCCCTCCCATACCCCTTGCGACCTCCAGAATGCGGAGAAAAGAACCATCGCGCAGCTCCACAGATTTCCCACTCTTGTACGTTTTGCCGTCGGAAAGGAACTCTGGGATGATTTCTTTGACTTCGGAGGGCGCAGTATGGTTGACGCAGGGGGCGATATTGGCTGTGAGGTTGGAGAGGATCTGGGGCAATTGCTCGTCATCTACGAAGTCATCCTCGTTGTATCTTGCGGTGAAATCTAGCTCCCTATCTTCATCGCCATCTAGGGTGTCACTGCTGTCGCTCTCATCTATTACGATGGGAGGTGGGCGGTTATGTCTGGTGTGGTGGGATTCATGGATCTGCTGACGGCGTCGACGGCGGGATCTTGGAGTCAGCGCGAATATCGGAGGGGGCTCACGGCCTGGGGCTATTTGGACCATTTTCTGTGTTGGGGGTTGTAAAAGCTAATATTTGACAGATGAAAGGGTTGAAATTGATATCAGAAAGCTGGTGTTGACAAGATTCAGAGCTGAAGTGTTCAGCTTAAAACACTTCTGATATAGATAGAGTAGATGTGATGAAAGCGAGAGGTATCAGTCCTTAGTAGATTCAAAAAGATAGCAGAAGAAGATCAGAGAATACTGTCCATCAACAAGATAAATAACGAACTTAAGAATTCGAGAATTTGAGACAGTCAATGATCATAGATTCTGTTGTGTTTGTATGGAGCAATGAATGCTTCAGACACTGTTTATACATACATTATTAGTCTAGAAAAAAACTTCAGATTCTGACAGTTAATCAAGTCAGTGTCTGAACATCAACTGCTCAGATCTTAACTCTTTATTAAAGAGAGAGATAGCTCATGATTACAGCTTTGCAGCTGCATTCTCTCTTCATCTCCCTAGATAGATAGAGAGCTTATGCAGTAGAGTAGAGTAGTCACTTGTTATTGTTCTTTGAAAGAGGACAGCAGATCCAAGCATAAGAAAACATGATTAAATAAATAAATAAATAAAAAAGAACAATGTAGACAAGAAGATAAACTCTTCTTTTCTAGACCATAAATAATCACATCAACAAACTAAGCCTCATTGTTGTTGTTGTTGTTGTTGTTGTTGCAGTCAACAAAGATCAGTCTGACACATAACTAAGTTACTAACTTAAAGATATCAATCAAGTCTCTGCAAGAAAAGGGTTTAGAGCTAACTTCTTTCTCATAAAGAAAAGCCAGCTTCAACTTGTAATAAGTCACAGTGTCTGGTCTGTGACCCATATCTCTCTCTTCCGCCCAGGATCCAGCTATGTCCAAGGAGATGCCATGTATTCATTCATGCACTCATGTCCTGTTGTGTTTGTTAGTTATATATAACAAGAGAGTTCATTCCGAAAAGGGGCAGCTTAGGGTTTGCTGACGTCAGCTGACTACGCCAAGACTCGGAATATTTTTCATTTTTCATTTTTCATTTTTATTTTTGTTCCTTCAAACAATAATGATGAGTGTGTGGTTGTATTATTTGGAGTTGAAAAGCACGGCAGATATTATCATGAATAATAACTACAGTACTAAGGTATTATTTTATTTTCCATCTATCAAGAGTGGGAAGCAAAGAAAGCTCCGAGGATGATGCTTGGCCTCGAGACTCCACAACCATGTACGGAGTAAATATGATTTTGAACAACAACATCGCGGGTATTATTAATAATTAATAGATGGAAAATAGTAGTAGTAGTAGTAATAATAATAATAATAATAATAATAATAATAATAATAATAATAATAATAATAATAATAATAATAATAATAATAATAATAATAATAATAATAATAATCAAGTTCTCCTTGATTCCAATGGGCGGGCGGAGAAGTTATTTAACTAGCAAAAATCTAAGTTTTCTCCCGCCGGTGAACCGCAACCTTCTTCTTTTTATTCTTTTTTCTGCCCAACTCCACTCACTCCGCTAAGAAAATAACTTCTTCAATAATCATCATGTCCGCCGCTATTCTTCTTCTCCCAGTCTCCGTCTCCGTCTCCGTCTCCGTCTCCGCCTCCACCTCCTACTACTCCTATCCCCCGATCTCTGTTTCTTTTCTACTCGCGTCTTCATTATGTTGTAGATTTGCTCTCTCTTCCTGCTCCTCTCCCCTCCCCGCCGCCTCCGCCGCCGCCGTCGTTAACCCAACATGATCTAAGCAAGCTTTTTTTCCGTCTCAACTCGCTCTTACTAGATCTCTTTTTACCCCTCCAAATATCCCCGTACCAGGTGGTAAATTTATAAATTCCTTCTCCCTATTTCTAAGAAATCCAGCGGGAAAGAAAAAAAGTAAGTATCAGGTCTAATTTGACCCTGGGTTACGTTGCTGTCTGTCACTTGAGCCCGTCTCCCCTCTCTGTATGCGCAGTACATTCCCTCATCCCAAATCACAACCAACATAATAATCCCTACAGATGATGAACAAGTTGGAAAAAATACATGGATGTTAGACTTCCTAATTTTTCTTGCGGAGAACTCCAATTATTCTGACCCCTATCTTGTGTTGTGTTTTGCACTTTTTTTCCCCCCCTCTTTTAAATTTTAAGGGGTGGATATCTTTGCCCCCCCCCCCCCCCAACTTCGTTCTTGTATCAAAAATGACAGCTTACAAGAAAGAATTCCCAAATATCTAGTTACTTCTATATAATCCACGCCCAATATGTGCGGCATCCTAGCCCTCATCCTTGCGGACCCCAAGGCCAGCGCCAGCATTGACCTCCACGAGGCCCTCTACCTACTCCAACACCGTGGCCAAGATGCCTGCGGAATCTCAACCTGTGCCTCCGGCGGCCGCATATTCCAATGCAAAGGAAATGGCATGGCTGCAAAGGTGTTCAACGACGGAGCCCGCGTTGCCGACCTTCCCGGCTTCATGGGCATTGCACATCTCAGATACCCCACAGCTGGCAGCAGTGCCAATGCTGAAGCACAGCCGTTTTACGTCAACAGCCCCTATGGCATCACACTAGCCCACAACGGCAACCTCATCAACGCCAGCGACCTCAAGAGCTTCCTCGATTACGACGCCCACCGCCACATCAACACGGACAGCGACAGCGAGCTGATGCTCAACGTCTTCGCCAATGAGCTGAACGAGACGAAAAAGGCCCGCGTCAACCACCAGGACGTCTTCACAAGTCTAAGCCGCATGTACGAGCGCTGCCAGGGCGGCTGGGCCTGTACGGCCATGATAGCCGGTTTTGGCGTCCTGGGTTTCCGCGACGCATACGGTATCCGTCCCTTGGTCCTCGGCTCGCGCCCATCCGCCACCGGCGAGGGGATGGATTACATGATGGCATCTGAATCCGTTGCGCTCGACCAGCTAGGTTTCACCACGTTCCAGGACATCCAACCAGGCGAGGCCGTCATTATCCAGAAGGGAGGCAAGCCCGTCTTCCGCCAAGTATACCCCAAGCAAAACTACACCCCGGACATCTTCGAATACGTCTACTTCGCGCGCCCAGACTCCGTCATCGACGGGATCAGCGTGTACCGCAGCCGGCAGCGCATGGGCGACAAGCTCGCGCAGACCATCTACAAGACCCTGGGCGCCAAAGCCATCGAGGAAATCGACGTCGTGATCCCCATCCCCGAAACCTCAAACACGTCCGCGGCCAGTGTCGCGCGCTACCTCGACAAACCCTATTGCCAGGGCTTCATCAAGAACCGCTATGTGTTCCGCACGTTTATCATGCCGGAGCAAAAGGCGCGGCAGAAGGGCGTGCGGCGGAAGCTGAATGCCATGGCCGCGGAGTTCAAGGACCGCAATGTCCTGCTTGTTGACGATAGTATCGTGCGCGGCACGACGAGCAGGGAAATCGTCACCATGGCCCGTGAGGCGGGTGCGAAGACGGTGCATTTTGCCAGTTGTGCTCCGCCAATAGCGTAAGTTTTACCCGCACATGCACACCCAACCACGATATATATCCCCCTGCCCTGCCCACATCTCTCATCAAATATATAACACAACCTACTAACCAAGAAAACACCAAACAGCCACGCCCACATCTACGGCATCGACCTCGCCTCCCCAAGCGAACTCGTTGCACACAACCGCGACGCAGCCTCCATCGCCCGCCACATCGGCGCCGACACCGTAATCTTCCAAACCCTCTCAGACCTCAAAGAAGCCTGCGTCGAAAGCTCCCAGGACGACCCCACGCGGCCACAGAACTTCGAAGTCGGCGTCTTCTGCGGCTCGTACATCACGCCCGTGCCCGAGGGCTATTTCGAGCACTTGGAGAAGGTGCGCGGGGAGGGGAGGAAGGTGAAGGTTATCGAGAGCGCGAGGAAGGCGGTTTTGCATGGCGTGGCGAACTCGAGGGATATTCGGGTTGCTGCTAATGGGGCGGATGTGGATGCGTTGGGGAGGATTGTGCCGGCGGGGATGGAGAATGGGGTTGTCGGTGGGTGCGGCGGGAGCGGCGGGAGCGGGAGTGGCGATGGAGGTGGGGATGGGGGGGTGAATGGTGTGGGGAGTGCTGCTGGTTGTGTCGGTGGTGATTACTCTTTGCAGACGGAGTCTGCGCGCCCGAATGCGCATGATGAGGCAGACAATGATACGCCGCAGGTTAAGGATCGGATGGATATTGCCTTGCATAATTTTGGTGATTATTCGTAGCGCGCGTTTGTTGTTTTTCGTGTATGGGGAGGGGTGTATTTCTTTTTGGCGTATCATTCCTTTTTACGTTTTAAGTCCCTCGATGTTGTTCTTTCTTTTCTTTTCTTTTTTGTCATGCTTTGTTATGGTTGATGATCTTGAATGTGTTTCCCCCTTTTCCAATCTCATTATTATATTCTCTTGACATATTCTCATTTATGTATCATTCACACCGGACATAGTTTACCTTAGCTACTCTTTTTCTTCTGCCCGATTCTCCCCTATTTTTGACCAGCCATTACTCAATAAGACAGAGGTTACATGAATTCAATTTTTATCCACTTGAGTTCATTCACCTAATATATGTTGATAATTCTTTATATATGTAGCAAGTATTCATTGAAATAGATCTGTATGTCATCTCTCTATATATTATAGAAAAACCAACTTTTCCGAGTAAAATGCCCTGTAACGTGACCTCACATGATATCACATGCACCCCATCAAATCCATCCATGGATATGTAGTGGCGCCTGCCAATTGCACCACTCTATCTACCCCCTACCACCGCCTCTAACGCCCCGTAGCACCCCCTATTACTTCCACTTCATACCCCTACCTCCATCTTACCACTCACTCTTACCAACCTCTACCACCCCTACCACCCCTACCACCCCTATCACCTCTACCACTCCTACCACTTCTACCATCTCTACCACCACTGCCTCTACCACCCCACAGCCCCCCCTATCACTTCCACTCCATATCTCTACCCTACCCCCATCTTACCACTCACTCTCTTACCATCCCTATCACCTCTACCACCTCTACACTTCTTCCACTCCGACCCCCCCTTACCACCCCTTATCACCCCTTACCACCTCTATCTCCCCTATCACCTCTACCACCACCACTGCCTCTACCGCCTCGCAGCACTCTCTATCACTTCCACTCTCTATCTCTACTCTCATCTTATCATTCTACCCCTCTCTTACCATCTCTATCATCTCTCCCATTTCTACCACCTCTATCACCCCTCTCTATCACCTTTTCCACTCTCTAGCCTCTCTATCATCATCATTATCTCTACTACTCTACAGTCTCTTCTATCACTTTCACTATCTCTACTTCTCTCTTACTATCTCTATCACATTTTGATCTCTGTGTTTATAGTATATACTGCTAAATACTCTGTAATAAAATCTCATGTGATGTCATTAACATCTCTTTGAATTCATGAATGAGATTGAATAGCTGACTCTACAGTCTGTACAGCTCTGATTAATCTGATAATGATGATAGAGATGATACAGAGTGAAAGAGAGTAGTAGAAGAAGTAGAGATGATGATAATGATAGAGAGGATAGAGAGTGAAAGAGATGGAAAGGGTGATAACAGTGGATAGAGATAGAGAATGGAAGTGATAAAGAGGGTTGTGAAGTGGTAGAGGTGGTGATGATGATAGAGGGGGATTGCGGGGCGGTAGAGGCGGTGGTGGTGGTAGAGGGGGTAGGGGTGGAAGAAGTGGTAAGAGGGTAGGGGTAGAGGGTGGAAGTGATAGAGGGGCTTATGAGGCGGTAGACGCGGTTACCCGGTGGCTGTTCTCTAGAGGTTCCATGTCAATTCCCCTCCGATATCTCTTCCTGAATGAGTCTTTCT